TGAAAAGTGCCTTTCTTAAATTACTTTTGGTAATAAAAAAAACAGTTTGTGTTTGACTAATTAATTTGAAAAATACTTTTGAACAACAATTAGCGTTTGACCAAGCTTTTAAAAGTGCTTTTAAGTATATTTTTCTCAAAGTGTTTTTCAAAAAGATGTTTTTGATAAGAAGCTACTTTTTCTGTTTCTCAAAAACTATATATGCTTTTACTCAAAAACAGTTCTTTTCCTTCTAATCGCTTGATCAAACACCTTAACTTTGAAAAAAAATATTTTTGACCAAAAAAAAGCTTGGCAAATAAGCTATAAGACTAGTAATCAGTTTCTTATATGTCACTTCAAGAATTGTATCAATAACTTTAATTTCAACTCAAAATTTAATAACAAGGTCTGAAAATGTTGAAGCGCTGGAATGACAGCTGGAAGCCAAGGCAATGTATTGAGTGACAAGCAGTCATTTTAGCTTAGCGTTAGTTAGGTGTTAGTAGTTAGTTATAACAGAATTAGGTTTATTATTAGTGCTAATTAAGTGAGCTAGTTAGAGTGTGTCTATATACACGTGTATGTATCAATGAAGATTCATTCACTTTGTAATTGATTTCATTTTCTCTCAATACATAGAAGATACAACTGTCCAGAAGCTTCTATTCACAATCTTTATCTTCTTCGTTCTTAGCTAAGCTCAACCACTACTCAATAATGGTAGATTTAACATGGTATCAGAGCTTATTGAGTGGCAAATCACCATATGAGGTCTTCTATAAATCACCACCTTCACTACTACACTTACGAGTTATTGGTTTTCTTTGTTTTCCTACAGTTACCAGCCAGAATGATAAACTTCTACCTAGGGCAGTAGCAGCAGTCCATATGGGATATTTCACATTTCAAAAGGGGTACAAATTATACGATCTCAAGGACAATAAATTTTTTGTCAGTAGAGATGTTACATTTAGAGAGGATGTGTTCCCATTCTTAATGATGAAAGAAGGAAAAAGCCCTCAATTATTTTTTTAAACAGCTAGACAATATGCAACAGAACAACATGCATCTCCACAACAACATACTCCTACTCAGGAAATGCAGACTCCTGATCAAGAATTAGGTCAACTACATGCTGAATATGAAGATACGATACCCCAACTGGATGACTTATCCAACAATGATGCTGAGGAGGTTCTAGTTCAACAGTCAGACCAAGCAACCGAGATAGCACATGAGGAAACATCACACATGCATCTTAGAAGAACCAGCAGAGGGTCTAAACCACCAGTATGGGCCAAGGATTACATCTGCCCAACTATGAAGCCTTCTTTTTCTACTTCCCTATATCCTATGTTCAACTATCTGAGGTATGACACATTAAGCAATGCATATCAGAGTTATCTTACTGCAATGACAACAGATGTTGAACCCACATCCTATCATCAGGCAATGAAGGATCAGAAGTGGATAGATGTTATGCAAGCTAAAATAGATGCACTAGTGAGCAACAAAACATGATAGGTGGTTCATATTCCTAAAGGCAAGGTTCCCACTGGTTGCAAATAGGTATACAAAATCAAACATAGATCATATGGAACAATAGAGAGGTACAAAGCTAGATTGGTTGCTAAAGGATACCGTCAACAAAAGGGATTGGACTATCAAGAAACATTCTCTCGTGTGGTTAAAATGGTAACCATTAGGACTGTCATTGCCTTAGCAGCTATGAATCAATGGCCATTGTTTCAGATGGATGTTCACAATGCATTTCTTTAAGGTGACCTTGAGGAAGAGGTATACATGTAACTATCTTTGGTAGCCAAGGGGGGAATACAGGATGTAGACTACTCAAATCTTTATATGGCCTTAAACAAACATCTAGGTAGTGGAACCTTAAGCTCACCAATGCACTCCTATAGGCTGGTTTCAAACAAAGGAAACATGATCATTCTCTATTCATCTCAAAGAAACACAACAGACAAGTTATAATACTTGTGTATGTGGATGACATTCTCATTACAGGTGATGATGCTGGTCTCATTCAAGAAGCCAAGAACACTTTACAAAACAACTTTAAAATGAAGGACCTAGGGACTCTGAAGTACTTCCTAAGAATAGAGGTATGCAGATCACAACAGGGAATTTTGCGTTGCCAAAGAAAATATGCTTTGGAGCTGATTGCAGAGTTAGGATTGTCAGGTTCTAAACCTGCCTTAACTCCAATGGAGCAGAACTTACCACTGCTGAATATGATGAACACTGTGACTTCAGTGATGATGCTGCATTAGAAGATGTAAGAGAGTACCAAAGACTGGTTGGGAAGCTGCTTTACTTGACATTAACCAGGCCAGACATAACATATAATGTGCAGACCTTGAGCCAATTTATGCAATCTCCTAAGAAGTTACACCTTGAAGCAGCCTACAGAATTGTGAAGTATGTGAAAAATGAGCCAGGATTAGGAGTGTTGATGAGTGCAGAAAAGAGTACAGCCTTAAGAGCATTTTGTGATGCAGACCGGGCAAGCTATCCAAATTCAAGGAAATCAGTGACAGGGTACTTGGTGAAGCTGGGGAACTCCTTGTTAGCTTGGAAGTCGAAGAAACAAAACACAGTAGCAAGAAGCTCAGCAGAATCAGAATACAGGAGCATGGTCCTAACAATAGCTGAACTTATGTGGCTACTATGTTTACTTAGAGAGTTGAAAATCAATATTGATGCTCCATTTCAACTGTTTACAGACAGTAAGGCAGCAATGTAGATAGCTAACAATCCTATGTTTCATGAAAGAACAAAACATATAGAAGTTGATTGCCATTTCATAAGAGAAAATGTGCAGCAAGGCATGGTACATCTTGAGTATGTGCCAACAGAAGAACAAGAAGCAGACATTCTGACAAAGAGACTTGGAAGTGTGCAGCACTATCATTTGTTGTCCAAGCTAGGGTTGTTAAATATCTTCACACCACCTAGCTTGAAGGGAGTGTTGAAGTGCTGGAATGACAGCTGGAAGCTAAGGCAATGTATTGAGTGACAAGCAGTCACTTTAGTTTAGTGTTAGTTAGCTGTTGGTAGTTAGTTATAACAGAATTAGCTTTATTGTTAGTGCTAATTAAGTGAGCTAGTTAGAGTGTGTATATATACACGTGTATGTATCAGTGAAGATTCATTCACTTTGTAATTGATTTCATTTTCTCTCAATACACAAAAGATACAACTGTCCAGAAGCTTCTATTCACAATCTTCATCTTCTTCATTCTTAGCTAAGCTCAACCACCACTCAATATCGTTGGATTTAACAGAAAAAGTAGAGGCACATGAAACAGATGGGACAGAAGGGTTATACAATAACACAATTGGAAAGAAAGTGATAAATAAACCTATAATTATCAACTTCTTCAAAACTCTGACATTCGCTCTGTTCTAACACAAATAATTTGAAACTTACTTGTCCAAAGTGACGGTACAATATTCCGAGGCAACGTGTATGCCGGATTTCCTAAAAACACAAGAATAAAATAGACACAACAAAAAAACAAAAAAAAAACAAAGCCTACACTGGAAATATTTGATTTTCTTTAGTTCTCTTACGAGAAGGAAAAGTGTATAATACCTAGTACTTTTCTTCCTCAAATGAGAAGAAAAATGTTGAATACGTAGTTTTTTTCTTCCCCACTTCACCATTGAGAAGATAATAAGGAAAATAACTTATCATAAGCTTCCGTTTCAATTTCTTTCCTGAACATCTTTTCTTATTCAGAGTTAAAATCAAACGCTCTTTCAACCTTAGACAAATAGACACGGTGTGTGATAGGGAAGGAAGGTCTCAGACATAATTTTAAGTCCTCTAACCATTAACTATATATAAATGGAGTGCAGCTTCCACCCAAAAAAAGGTTCAAAACACAAATCTAATCAGAAAGCCAAACTATATATGATGATGAAAGTAGAGGTCCAGATGGGGCTACTATGGAGGTGATGTTGGCAGGAAAGGGTGTAACTGGAGATGGTGGTGATCATATTGATCTTCCTACTCAAATCCTTAGGGAGGAGAGTAGGAAGTTATTTTTTACCAACAATGTTTGCCTTTTTGCAGGTACCTATCTAGGGCCTGGATCATATGCTTTGGCCAAACCTAAAAGGGTGGTATTAGTATCTATGATGCTCGTTCCTGTTAGGACTAACCAAGGCATAGACCAGCCCTCTCACATTGCTCTTTGCACGAAGGAGAAGGTACAAGCATGGCAGGCACACTGGATATATGCTAAATCACTCCACATGGAGCCCTACTGGAAATGCTCAATAAGGAGGCTGTATATGGTAAGCTCTATACGATTCAGTGCTATCCATTGCACGTTGGAAGTATTATACTCAGTCTTGAAGCTAAGGAACTGGTCTCTAAAAAGCAAGACAATGCAAGTGTGTGTTACTATACACGACAGATTTTGCTTTGGGAAACTATGGCAACTTAGGGTGACTAGGAGATAATTTGTGTTATTCATATGTACCCTGCAATGTACTATAACTTCATTGATGTGTTGATGCTAAGGAACTGCCCAGATTTTGCAATTGTGACCACAAAACTCTACAGTTGTGTGCTACTTCTAGCTACGTCCAAGTGTAAAGGGGAAAGAAATGCAAAGATCTACATAAGGATATGCATTACACAGGCTCTTGGTTTAGAGGTGAGAAGGCTTTGGAGGTTCCAACACCTGATAGAGTTGCATCAAGATGGCCAGAAGTTGAAGCAAGGATCAATGTCTCACTTTGTATATCATTCATTTTCCAATATCAACTTAAGACTTCTTGCCTTTAAGTTGATACTAATTTTTATCATTCTGGCAAGTTCTTACTTCTTTCACATTGTAAGACATTACTTTATTTTCGTCATTATTAATTAAAAAGACCACTAAGCTAGGTATATTAGCTTAACAAAAAAAAATCAGCAAGCCAGAATGGCACACAATTTTGTTGTCGTTTAACCTTTTTTTTTTTTTTTTGAGAATAGATTGGCATGAACTCAATAATCTCCATTTACTTGCAACAACAACAAACCCAATTTGATTCCATAAATGAGGTTTGGGGAGGGTAGTGTGTACGCAGACCTTACCCCTACCTCATAGAGATAGAGAGGCTGTTTCCGATAAACCCTCGGCTTAAGGAAGAAAAATTTAGGTGTTAGAAAGGATCAGAAGTTAGTTCATCAACGAACAGTTCATTCACTCCAAGTATCTCCATTTGACCGAGGTGCACTCACCTAACCCATTCTATGGATTAGAACACCTAGAGGTGCGAACTTGCTAAATGCATACTGTACATATTTGCAATTATAATCCTTTCCTCAAGCTATAACCCTAGAATTCTGTGTCAAAGCAAGCCATCATCACTTTTGAGACCATGGACCTTGCAAAAGGAACATAGCTCAAGCTATACCTGTAATGCAACAAAAGAGCATCAGCTTCCTAGCCTAAACAGAAATATTTAGAATTTGGCAACTAGCTTAAAAGGATAACAATGTCAAGTAGACGCGGATCAAGAACAAGGTAGCAAAAAAGGAGAAGCTTCCTATTTATAAGCTAGTGGTCCTATTGCCCTACGTTTGAGCCAAATGCAAGAGCTGATAAAGAGATTATTACCAGTGTGTGCTACACACAAAGGCATTACTTGTTCATCAACAAAAAAAAGAGCAGCCCGGTGCACTAAGCTCCCACTATGCGCGGGGTCCGGGGAAGGGCATCTAATTAGCAGTTGACAAAGTCGAAGTTATTCTATCTAGTTTCTTTATAGATAATTTGGATGACCGAAATAAAAAGAAAAAACCTATGTTTTTTTGACCAATTCAAGGTGAAAAATGGGGTTGCTCCCTCGGCAAACTAGGATAAAGTTGAGCCTAAAGATCTCGATTCAAGATATATCTTTTGACATTCTAGTTTATCCTCCAAGTTCTCTAAACTATTAAAGCGAAAAGAGTTTATCCAATTTCGGACGTGTTTAACGGGAAAAAAACTTGTCGGGAAATATTTGTCTCAAGTGCTCTACTGGATAAGTTCTCCGCTATTTCAGAATTTATATTTGATACCAGAATTTAAAAGGAGAGTTTGCTGCTGAGCCTGGTTGTACTTAATTTCACCTATCCCAACCACAGAGTAACTTATCTTCTTATGTCACCATCCCCCAATCCGTGTTTATAAGACTGAACCAGCGTGTGACTACAGTCTGACATACCAAATAAGTGCACCAAACTCCAATACAATTGCCAAGAGTGTAAGTAGTTTGTTCCGCACCTGAAGCAAGCAAATGTAGATGAGACAATAGAATGGCAAAGTTTGCAGAAAGCCAAGATGAAAAGAAACTAAAAACATGACTTATACAGTAACTCACATATAGAGCAGAAAACAGAGCAATGATAATGCTTGCTAGATAAATGGCAGTTGCATATAAGCGAACTGGGTCAAGCATCATTGTCACTTGTCGTTTAGGCCCTATAAGAAACGCTGTGCTGCCACAGAAAAACAATCTAAGTGAAAAGATGAAATACAAAAATGGTAGCAAGTGCGAGAATACACAGGAGAAAAATCTGTTATTGAATAATAATGATACAATGAGTCCTATATATAATACATATTCTACTCCTACTACATATGAGACTAGGACATATTCTATTCCTACTACATATAAGGATTATTTACACATAACTATGTAACACTCCCCCTCAAGCCGGTGCATACAAATCAAATGTACCGAGTTTGTTACATAAAGTGACCGGCGCGAGCAACATACAAGGCCACTAGACTCCTATTGAGCAACAAAACCAGGTAGTTGTTGAGAAGTTGGCCAAAAAGTCGCCGGAGAAATTTGAAAATAGTGAGACTAAGCCGAATTCCACACTTCAAAATAAGTTCTAAAATACCAACAGAAAACAAAAACTTTTCTGAAAATTACTCTTCACACCGGAATCATTGTTCATGTCGCAAAGTGCACTGTTCACGCCGTAAAAAAGAATTTGTCAGAATTTGATGTAATTTATGTGTAGGCTCGGAATCACTGGACGAGTAAGTTGTCCTGAAGAAGTTTTATCAAAAAGTGGCCAAAATGGCTAACACACTGAAAAAGTTATTGTAGCTCGTCGGCAAAATCCAAAGTTCTCGGTATCTATAGGAAATTGTACTGGTGGACTCGGAACCACCCCATGAAACAACTGTCCTAAAGAAATTTTTGAAAATTCTGGCTGGAAAGTGCTCCACGCGCCGGCACGTGTGTTAGACGTGCTCGCCGGAACCCTAATTCTTGCGGCGCGCGAGTGACGTTTTGCTAGAGCGATTGACTGGGGTGTTGTCGCATGACTTTTCCGAACAAGATGATGGTGTTGGCTTTCGCACAACGCTTACCGATGAGGAGATAACACAAATCAATCTTGAGCCGTCAACTGGAAAGACGCACGGTGGCTGACTATTCTGTTCCGATGGGACTGGGATTTCTGGGGTTTGGTCGCACAAGGGTTTCGTATCTGATGGTGGTACTGTTATATGCAAAGTACCATTATAGAAGTGATGAACCATGGGAACAAGACGAAGTTGTCGGAAAATTGCATGGCGACGAGATCTTCCTGGATGTCGTTGGAATGACGCACATCGATAATTTTCTCATTGAAGCTCTGATACCATGTGAGAAAGCGTAGGAGAAAAATCTATTATTGAATAACAATGATACAGTGAGTCCTATATATAATACATATTCTACTCTTACTACATATGGGATTAGGACATATTCTATTCCTACTACATATGAGACTAGGATTATTTACACATAACTATCTAATAGTAAGAAAGGCAGAAACGTCAGATTGTATGCTACATATTATGCAGTATATCTTAAAAGGGGGCAAAATTATCCTTATCGAGTCTATTCTGTCTAGCACCTGTACATGCTACATATCCTTGTTCCCAGTTCTATCCGGTAGTCAGGAGATTAGAGAAGTTAGAATAGAGATTCCTATAGGATGGGATAGCGGGAAAGGAAATATCATCTTGCCGAATGGAAGAAGGTGGTGATCCCTTTAGAGGAAGGAGGTCTGAGTATGCGCAACATTTCTATGTTGAACAAATCTCACCTTGAGAAGTAATAGTGGATGTTTAACAATAAAGGAAGGGGCTTTCTCGGTTATAAAATATGAAATAAAATAAAAGAATGAAGGAGGGGCTTTCTGGAGAGGTGATTGCATTAAGGTACTGAAGAATGGAATAGGGTTAGCTCACTAATAGCCTGTTTGGCCAAGCTTCTTTTTGGCCAAAAGTGCTTTTTTTGGCCAAAAGTCCTTTTGGCCAAAAATTGAGGTGTTTGGCCAAGCTTTTGGAAGGAAAAAAAGTGCTTTTGAGGAGACGCAGAAGCAGTTTTGGAGAAGCAGAAAAAAGTAGCTTCTCTCCAAAAGAACTTTTTTGAGAAGCACTTTTGAGAAAAATACACTTAGAAGCAGTTTTTTAAAGCTTGGCCAAACACTAATTGCTGCTCAGAAGTGCTTTTCAAACTAATTAGCCAAACACAAACTGCTTCTCACCAAAAGTACTTTTGAGAAAAATACACTTAGAAGCAGTTTTTTAAAGCTTGGCCAAACACTAATTGCTGCTCAGAAGTGCTTTTCAAACTAATTAGCCAAACACAAACTGCTTCTCACCAAAAGTACTTTTGAGAAAAATACTTTTGAAAAAAAGCACTTCTCAAAATAAGCTGACTTTTGCAACTTGGCCAAACAGGCTATAAGAAGGTAAGAAATACTTATGGGCTTTGTGTGTGGAAAGTAATAATGAAGGGGTACAAAGACTTCTGAATATTTTGGATTTCTAGTTGGGAATGGGAACCAAATTTGTTTTTGGCTCGACATTTGGTGATAGGAATTAACATAGAGAGAGATGCTTCCTGGCTGTACTCCATAGCAAGAAACAAAGAAGTGACAGTGCCAAATAAGGTTAGAAGGCTGCAGCGAAATATCATGGGATATAGTCTTCAATTGAATTATATAGTAGTGAAGATTGGGCCGCTAAATTCCAACATATCCACAAGATCAGCGTCGCAAATATGCGAACGTTAAAATGGATGCAGACGTACAAGATAAAAAATGACCATATCCGGCAGAAGGTGGAAGTAGTACATATCGAAAATAAAATGAAGATAGGTTACTTTGGAAAAGGGTAGAGGGGCGGGCCCATTATCCACCGAGTTTCGAAGGTTGCGGTTGGTCCAAAGGATCGGCCCCAGACGGATTTCTCGGTCATTAAAAAANAAATCCGTCTGGGGCCCATTATCCACCGAGTTTCGAAGGTTGCGGTTGGTCCAAAGGATCGGCCCCAGACGGATTTCTCGGTCATTAAAAAAAAAAAAATGACGATAGGTTACTTGAGATGGTTTGGTCATGTCCTGCGTCGACCTTTAGATGCATTAGTCCATAGATATGTAACTATGGTGGGTGAAGATGATAAAAGGAAAAATAGAGCTCAAGAAAAAAAACTATATATGTGATACCAATTAGCTGATAAAATGTTTATTCATGGTAGTACGTTTACTTTAGGTCCTATTTTTTCCAAAAATCTTCTAATTCTATCAAAGATTTATATGCCAATAGAAAATATAGATAATTTCTAGTAGTTTTTATTTTTTGTATTATATTGGTTTGAGAAGAGCGTTATTGGAACGACATGGCCAGTAATGATTCAGCTCGACTGGACTTATTTGAGATTGAGGTATAGTTGTTATCGTAAAGTCTTCAAAAAAACCACCCAGGACTAGGAATGGGTTGAGATGGACAAGCTCCTCACCAGAATATATAGTACTGAAATTGAAAACAGTGAGGATAGGATGGCATGGATGGGACTAGGCCGAAATTACTCTCAAAGAAATCTTATTTTTTCAACAAAAAAATCAAGTTTTATTTAAAAAGTGGCAAGTATATACCAAAAAATTGTTTGGTGAATAGGGACAGCACAAACAATATGTGGAGATTCATTTGGAAAACAAAAGCATAAAAAATGGATCGTCTTTTACACGGTGCGCATGCTGGGATGCTATTCCAGTAACAAGTAACTGAAGAAGGGACCTGTAGTAGTAAGCTACGGTTGCCTATGTAATAAGGGGAGAAGACACAGATCACCTACTTTTGCACTATGAATTTGCTACTGGCTTGTGGGGTTTCATCTACCAACAAGGAAGGCATGTTGAAGTATTACAACACCCAATTTGCATACAACGTTATATGCATGTAAATTGACCTCTTTTTGTCGTAAACTTTCATGTTATTTGAAATTTTTTTTGTTAAATTGTATAATCAGTGCATATTGGTTACAAAATTCAATAGACACTTTAATAATACTAGGATGCTCCATTGGTTGGTGGAAGAATTCGCTCCACCTTAAGCGAAATGGAGCAAGGAACTATCAAGGGCCAAATAAGAAAGTATCATGGGGAGACTATAATGTAATTTTGAGAGACCAAGATCTATTCTATACATATTCTAAAACAAGGAGGTGATGTGGTGCAAATTTTTTAAACTCCTTGTATTTGAGTTATTAGATCTTTAAGATTAATTTGCAGCCATTGGATACATGGGTACAACTTTTCTACCCCTTTTGAGCCGCTACCTATGTCGAACAGCCTCTCCAATTTCCTAAACTCATCTTCTTCTTCAAATTTCATTTTATATCCTCCGTTGAAGAGCTCAACACTATATCAATACCATTCTCTTACTCTCATCTAAACCCAAAATTTATTGCATATAACCTTTTCTCTCTACCTCTTTAAAGTTTTTGAATTTTGTTTTGAAGAATCAAGATGGATTAAGGATTATTTTGAAGCCCTAGATTTGGCTAGAGAGGAACTTCCTCTCTTCCATTCATCTTGCATGCACCTAAATGAGTTCTCTAAGGCACTCTAAAAGATCAATGAAGAAAAATACTTCTTGATGGTTTAGACTAAAAACCATAGCAAAGATAGATCTCTTCTCTTGTGGTAAACTTCTTACTCAAAATATATTGATAAATAGTTAAGATTTTAGTTAATAAACTAGAGACATTGAGAACTAAGAATTCACTCGTTTTTTACTGTAAAACATTTAGCAAGTTGACAATAACTTTCTTTCTTGAACTCGGATTGACATGATTCAAAATTCTGTAGAAAACTAAGACATACTTTTGTGAAGACCAAAGGATCTAATTCTGATGTTTAAGGTGTAAAATAGACCGAAGCTCAGGGCATAGATGCTGCCTAGATTTTTTGGCAATAAGAACTAGGGATAGTTTTGACCTACTGTAAGGTTTTGCCCTTGGCTTGTGGCTACGCACAACACAATGCTTTGGAAGCTTGTTCACTTACTTCATGTAATAGTTAGCATACTCATTGTAGTTAGTTGTAGTGCTACTCCTCTTAGTTTTGGTTTTGAACAAGTTGTAAACATTGGATCCGATTTTGGATTTGATTTATATATAGAGTAACTACTAGGCACCTGCCTAGTGGTATATTTGCTAAAAAAATAAAATAAAAAAGTAACACCTATATGGATTTTTTTCTTCTATTGTACCCTATTTTTAGCTAAATCTGCATTGATTCCAAATTATTTTATAAAAAGAATAGAAGTCAATGGTTTTCACACTTATCATTTGGGAAATATATAGGTCCTCAATACCAGAAAGACAAACAGCTTGAGGTAAAATGAAATTGCTGTAAAGCTGCAGCGATCCAAAACCAATAGAATTAACACCAATAAAGCAAGGAAATAATATTTCCAATTTTTTGTGTCTTCAAACTAAAAGAGAGCAAGTATCTGCTTGTCACGGAAATAAGAAAAAATCGGCCATAGAAATCTAAAAACACACCCTAGTTATACAATCTCCCCATGCCCTTATCAAAGCCAGAAGTTCAGTACCCACGGGAAAAGCTCATTACTACCATAGCACCAAGGGAAACCAAAAACAACACTTATTAAGATCAGTGCCCAAAAACCAGATATCTCACCAAAAGGATCCCACTGAGAGGTAACATGGGAATTGATTCAAATGGCCTGGTTTCATAATTAAAAACTGCAATAATCTATCATTTTGAACAATTGTAATCATTAGAGTTAACAAAGAAAACAAGATATTTCATTCTACATCAAACAACAATACCATTGTGTCAAATCCTAGTTGGATCGATTATCTAATGACCAATGAGTTCCAAATTTAAACGATATCTAGTATAAACGGGAAACATTGGTGAAGCTAATTCCCAAAGGAAAAATGTTATTCATAAAAATAAAATTATGAAAAAATATTCCATTTAAAAGAAAGAGAAAAGAGAATCTTATAACAGACCTTCCAAGTGCAAGCAAATTACCAAAGGAAAATGTTATTCCAAACTTGATCGGGTTGAAGAAAACCAGCATTGACTGTCATAAAGAGAAGAATGACATCTACATGAGATCTTATGCCCATCCACGAAAGAGATCAAATTGTAAAACTGAAAATGAAAGATTTTAGACTGTCCAAGAAAATAAGTTAGCAAGTGAACACTTCACAGAAGAACAAATGAGCTATATATATAAAGAACATTCATTGTATGTTAATCAACACAAAATCCTTAACGATTAGATGTCTCAACTTTAAGCATTAGTTCTGAACAAATTTGTCTAAAAGAACTCATTGCTGGTGCATGCAATACATGCTATAATAATACATCCTATAATTTATCACCAAAAGACTCAATTGCAAAATGTTACCTTTCAAAAGAAATATAATTTGTTAACACAAGCAAGAGATACATTGTTCAAGGACACAAGTCCTCAGCATTAATATGAAGAGGTTGCAAAAGAAAAAGCTAGCTCCCTTCACTCCTATAATACATTTGAAAAGCACCAAATCCAGAAACCCTCCTAAGCTTAATACTACCAAGAAACAAAACCCATTCTGCTTCCACAAAAAAACATAAGAAATGGTATATGCCAATAGATTCTTGTCTTCAATAGGGTAACCACGACGGGTCCCCTAATGCTTGCATTAGGGTAGGCTATCTATATCACACCCCTAGAGGTGCGGCCCTTCCCCTACGTGAATGTGGGATGCTTTGTGCACAGGGTTGTTCTTTTTATTCTCGTCTTCAATCAAAATAAAATCAGAATAGACGCAGAGTAAAGCTCATAGCCATCTCTTTTGTAATGACCCAATCCGGTTGTTTAGAGTTCTAGCATCTCGTTATGCGATTTGAGACCTCGAGTAGGTTCATATGATATTCTATGAATTGCATGTATGCTGGGTTTGAATCCCAAGAGGTTCGGGAGTGAATTAAAACACTTAGTTCCTATTGAAGTGTTGGGTTAGAAGAGTTGACCAAGGATTGACTTTTGGGTAAACGGACTTGGAATCGGAATTTGAAGGTTCAAGTAGGTACGTATGATGATTTTGAACTTATAGGTATGTTCGGATTGGGTATTGGGTGTCCCGAGAAGGATTTGACACCATTTGTGGAAAGTTGGCAGTTTGAAGAAGTCTAACTCAAGTTTGCCTTCTGCTTTATTATATTCCGTTTGGTGTTTTGAGCCTTTGGACAAGTCCATGTAGGGTATTTGGACTTGTAGGAATGTTTGGATGGGGTCCCGAGGGTCTCGAGTGAGTTCCGACGCGTTTGGAACAACTTTTGGAAGATTAGAGTTGTTTTTTTTATAAGGTAAATTGTATTAATCAAAAGGGAGAGAACTCCTGTATACAAGAAGTATACCAAAAAAGAAGAGAATTTACATCAGAACATGATTCTCTACATAACATTAGAGTTGTTAAAACAACATTTTTCTGCAACTAGCCTGACTGTACAAGAGCATATCTCCCAATATATAAAAAAATTTAAGATGTGTGTTTTGATGAGATTGTAGCCCTTTGAGTCTAATTTCCGGTGATTCAAACCATTTGTCATTCCAACATTTCTACAAGGAGTTATGACTATTTTTACCGGAACACAACAGTGCAGATTTCTATTTGTGGTTGACATGCGGTAAACATGCGGCCCGCATGTGAATTTTGCAGCCCACATGTGAGTTTAGTAGAGCCCGGGGCAATTTTTACAGCATTTTCCAGAAACTATTAAATGCTGAGTTTTATGATTTTTCTTTCATTTCCGCACGCTTGGAGCTCGGTTTTGTGAGGTTTTGACCTAGATCTTCATCAACAAGCTTGGGGTAAGTGATTCTAACCTATATCTATAATTTATAAATGAATCTATCACTAGACTTTGACATCAAAACGTGTGATTGAACAAGAGAAATTGGAGTTTTTGTCTAAAACTTCGGAAAATAGATTTTGTGGTTTTGAACACCGATTGAGACTCGGATTTGAAAACTAATTACATATTTGAACTCATGGAGTCATCTGTCAACGGGATCCGACTTTGGACCCAGGTTTTGACAGCGTGGACCCGAGTTGACTTTTTTGTTGGCTTTTAATATTTGACTAAAGAATGAAGCTTTATCATTTGGAATTGGTTTTTATAGCTTTGTTTGACCCCGTTGAGTATTGTATGTGCTAGATTGGACTCGATTGATGAATTTGGAGCTAGAAAAGACAGATTTTGGAAAACAGAGCTAGTTAGGGATGAGGTAAGTATCTTGTTTAACCTCGACTTGAGAGAATGTATTCTAAAATGGACTTACATGCTACATGCTATGTGTTTGAAGGTGACACATATGCGAAGTGAAGAGCGAATAAGCGAGCACCAAGGCTATATTATGCTCGCGGTAGACTTTAGGCATCTTTATGCCTTGTTTGGTTGTGTTCTTCTTGACGTATGCATTATTTTTCGTATGACTATGTGAGCCTATTTATTCATGCTAGAAATTATGTTTAGGCTTATGATATCTTATTTGGGAATGATGGGCTATCCTTGAGATGGTTGATATACTAGATTTAGCTGTAGTCATACTTTATATCATGAGCACACATCTGTATCTTTATTTATTATGTCCCTATGCACCTTACTGGTTATTTCTTAAGCATATGCAAACATCTTTGGAGATGAGAACTTGATACGAATTGATATGATTATGGCATATTTGAACATTATGAGCGGATTGATATAGTTATAGCACAAGGTTTATGTCGTGCGGGTATTGTTCTTGCACGAGGTTTCTGCCGTGCAGCGTGTGGATACAGATCCATTACTCTAGGGTCTCCCTCCCATGTTTCTCTGTTGGTGGCCAACATGCAGAGTTTGTGAGACTGATGAGTGTCAGACTATGATGGTATTGGTTGATGAGTTGGGCGTAAAGGTGGAAGCTTTGATTACTTAAGTGAATCCTTTACGTCATATCCTGCATTCCATAGGCTTTCTGTACATGTCTTCTAAATATGCTACTTGATGCTTCTGTTACATGCATTCGACATATGCACATTCATACATTTTACATATGCATGGGATTTGCTATGAGACACTTGGAGGGTGTCAGGTTGATGTATATGTTAAATCATCATCATGCATAGAGTAGAATTATGTAGGAGCATTCGTACAAATGCTATTTGGGAATTGATGTGAAATTGGGTTCTTATCATGCATAGACACTCTACATCCATGTAGAAGTATTCGAGATAAAGCTACTCGGAGTAAATCTCCTTTATATATGGATTTGGTGCATTTGTATATGCTTTGATCTGGTTATTTAGAAAAGCATGTTGACTACCTCCTCCTTTATTATGCACCTTATTATAGATATCAGTTGTTCCTTGGCTGATTCTTGGCTATTTCTCTATTATTCAATATGCGTATGAGCTGCACAAGCTATATAAAGTGAGTATCTTTTGACTGAATGTCGCCACTATTTCATTGAGGTTAGTCTTGATACTTACGGAGTACATGGGGTAGGTTGTACTCATACTACACTTCTGCACCTTGCGTGCAGATTTTGGGAGCTGAGCTGTTGTGAAAGTCGAAGGCTAGCATTGAAGATGTACCAACATTCCAGTTGCAAATTATCATTTTGTTAATGGTAATCTAGAACTCGTATTTCTATTTATGTATACTCCACACAGATGATGTATTTTCTTCACACTAACGGTGTAATCTTATTCTTATAGCCCGTTTGGCCAAGCTTCTAAAATTAGCTTATTTTGAGAGGTGCTTTTCTCAAAAGTACTTTTTAAAAAAGTGCTTTTGGTGAGAAGTAGTTTGTGTTTGGCTAATTAATTTGAAAAACACTTTTGAGCAGTAATTAGTGTTTGGCCAAGCTTTTGAAAACTGCTTCTAAGTGTATTTTTCTCAAAAGTGCTTCTCAGAAAAGTGCTTTTGGAGAGAGGCTACTGTTTTCTGTTTCTCCAAAACTGCTTCTACTTCTCCTCAAAAGCATTTTTTTCCTTCCAAAAGCTTGGCTAAACACCTCAATTTTTTGGCCAAAAGTGCTTTTGGCCCAAAAAAGCACTTTTGGCCCAAAAAAAAGCTTGGCCAAACAGGCTATTAGTCGCTCTTGACTTGTAATTTTTCAATTCTTGGTTTAGTTATATTAATCTTTGCACACTTATCTTATTATTCATTTGATGATCTTCAGTTCGAGTTGTATTTATGTTGGTCGGCTTGCTTAATTGGTTGGGTTAGGCGCCATCACGATTTCTTTGGGATTTGGGTCGTGACAAGTTGATATCAGAGCTCTAGGTTTATAGGTTCTACGAGTCAAAAGCAAATGTCTAGTAGAGTCTTGCAGATTGATACAATGACGTCCATACTTGTCTTCGAGAGGCTACAGGACATCTAGGAAACTTCTCTTTCTTTCTTTCCTTATCGTGCGACTTTTTTTAGCTTGAAGTCTAAATCTTCAGTTTCTTTCTATTCGTACATATGCGATGATGAGAACTCGATATCAGTTGGGCATCGACACTTGTGATAATGTCGTAGATGTGGTATGAGATGCTTTCCCATGATATGAGGGCAAGCTAGTCTAAAGGACTTGTGGCCAGGTATGGAACACAACTTTGGCTCAGGGGACTCAATTAAGTAAGCAAATGATTTTGGACTCTTTTGTCCGTTAGTGTCCCTAAAAGTGGGAGTGATGGCACAGTGAGCGGTTAGATAGCTATGTTTTCACAATTGGTTGCTCGAAAATTGAGCGGGTGCCTCCATAGCCTTAAAGAATAATGGAGAGGCTATTTCCGAGGGAAGTGATAAGAGTTAACAAGGTAGCTATGTAATAAGTGTTATGGGCCTAAGGACTACACTTACAGGGTTTATACGTAACAAGAAGGTTTTGCTTGAGATACAAAGGAAATGTGAACACTTGATCATCATCTCGATATGTAGTGTCTGTCCTGATAGAAGTTTAGAATTCGGATTCAACAGGTCTACAGCCTGTCATTCCTGTCTCCTCAAGAATGTCTAAGGCATACTTCCGTTGTGAGATTACAATACTTGAGCTAGACTGAGCGACCTCAATACCTAGAAAATACTTTAATTTGCCAGATCCTTAGTCTAAAAGTGCTGAAAAAGATGTTGCTTCAATTTAG